AAACCATTCTATGATTCCATGAGTTTTTCCACCCTTAGCAGAGAAGAGAACTGGTAGAAAATGAGGATTTCTGTAGATTCAACATCTGTAAGATGTTGGTCTGAAAAGAGCATCTATTCTTTCCTTTTAATGTATTTATTTAAAATTTCTTTCCTGTTCTCAAAGTAGCCTTTCCCATGCATTACTCCACAAACCACAACCATGTTGGTTTACACCAAGTTTACACGTTTTGCTAGAGAATGTTTTTTTTATGTAATGCATAGTAGCTCAAGAAGATCTTGTATTTCCAGCATGACACTTCCAGGTTCAGCCTTGCAATCCATGGAAAGACTACTCATCTGCTTATACAGTTAGGGATACTGGGATTATGGCTAGCTAGACCTAGAAGTTATATACAGTCTATTTCAGAAAGCAGTCCTCATTGTAGGCAGGCTATGAAATTCGTGCATAAAGCAGCCAAAGCCATGAGCAGCTCCACTGCGAAGAGGAAATAAAATTGCTTTTCAGGACATGGGAAATGAGCAGAGGTGACTCCCACCTATTTGTAGAAACTCCTTTCAAGAAAGCCAAGGCCAACCTGATCAAAGTCACACTAAATAGAGTTCAAATAGATTTTCTGTTCTCAATGAAATGGAACAGAACTAAAGCACATTATTGCCCAAGCTGAGGACTGTACTCAACCAGATACCCAAGGAAGGGCAGGCTATTCCATTCATACGCCCTGACACTGGTGCAAATATGACATTTTGACATTCGTTTAATATGTACTTCCAGTATTTTTGGAAGTAACTGCCTCTTTCCCCCAGGAGGGGACAATATGTAAATCTCATTTAGGTAGCCCATTTCAGACTTCACAGCTCCTCTCCACTTCTTTCTCTTCCATTCCTTTAAAAGGGGAACCAAAAAAAAAAAAAAAAATTCATCTGACCTGTCATCTTAAATAATGTGCCAAATAAAACCATGAGAGAAAAGGAAAAAAAAAAATTGTTAACCAGAGATTTACCTCCCAGATGTCTATGATTTCTCTTCCCAGGAAAGGATACAACAGTAAATGACTCCCAGGAAGTCACATTTCAAAGTACAATATGGAAGAGTATCTTTTAAGCCTTTTTTAATTCACCCCACCCCCCAACAAGGTTAAATGCACCTAATTTCATTTAAATTTCAACTTATCAGTGGCCCTTTTTTTTTTCCAGACAGAAATTTGCATACAGACAAGAATTGCTTTGAAAGACCAATCATCTGCTAGACCAACTCTCTTCATAGATATTATCCATGTTCTCTTAAATTCTGTTAACATCTGTTGGAAAACATTGTTTGACATGCATTCTTGATCTGAAAAGCCTCCCAATTCCTATTTCTCTCATCCTGATTAAAAAGAAAAAGTCTAAAAGAAGGTCCATGTAATAAAACCTGCAGGGACTGTGCTCTACCAACTTTATATTTCATTGATAATGGCAGGTAGGGAAAAACAACCAACACCACACACCCCCCAAATACCCTAAACCCATCACAAACCACAAAAAAACACACCCACAAAACAAAACCACACACCAGATCACATCCCAAATACCCCTTACACCCCAAACAATCATCAACTTGGGGGACCATTTGTATGGCCAAAACATTTTGTCAAAGTTTATCAGAAGCACACATGCCCTACACTTAAACGTATGCATTCAAAAACAGTTCCCTTAGATATTCAAAGTGCTGTTTGTTTACTAAACAAAACAATATGAATTTTAACTCCTACCATTCCATCATAACGGTCTCCAGGTCTACCCCTTCGGTCATAGGACATCAGGTCTCTAAAATGAGAAAAAGCAGCAGCACAATTTGTTAAACACTAGTTTATTCTAATTCAAGTTTTTATGATTTGCACACAACTATGAATTTCTGGATACTTTAGCCAAGTTCTCAATGACAAAGTTACAGAACTACTGACTGCTATATTACAGAAGTAATTAAATTCAAATACTTTCTGAAATTCTCTGGTGCAATGCATGCTCAAACCTGCATAATCACTACCAACATGGAGTGTGAAACAAGTCCTGTAAAAATTAGCATATTTCAGCAAATTTCACTCAACTTGAGTTTTGTACAATACGTTTATGCAACAGCTTACCCGCCACGAGGAGGTGGTGGAGGAGGAAGAGGAAGATTACGAGCTCTGCTACCACCTCTACCACCACGACCTGGTGGAGGTGGTGGGGGTCCTCTGCGAGGGCTCATATCATCATAATCTCTTCTTGATGGAGGCATAGGTCGTCCACCACGACCAGGAGGCATTCGATCAAAGCCTCCTCTTCCACGCATTGGAAAGCCTACTGGACGTCCCCTTCTATCATCAAACATCATTGTGAAGCCACCATAGTCATATGTTTCATCATAGAAATTGGGATCATAAGGCTGGGCCCGTCCTTTAATTGGAGACTAAGACACACACACACAACAACAAAACAAAACAAAAAAACAAACAAAAAAAACCAAAACAAAAAAACAAAAAAAAAAAAACCACAAAACAAAAAAACACCACCCCTCCCCCCGGTTAGCACTGACTGTTACCATAATTATATTACATTAAATTACTATAATAAATGCATAAATATGAAATTACACAATCTGAATACATTCTTGATTTCACAATGCTGACAAGAAATGCAGGGATGGTGATAGGGCCTGTAGTGACAGGACAAGGGGTAACGGGTTTAATTTGAAAGTGGGGAGGTTTAGATTAGATATCAGGAAGAAGTTCTTCACAGAGAGGGTGGTGAGACACTGGAACAGGTTGCCCAGAGAAGCTGTGGATGCCCCATCCCTGGATGTCTTCAAGGCCAGGCTGGACGAGGCTTTGAGCAACCTGGTCTAGTGCAAGGTGTCCCTGCCCATGGCAGGGGGGTTGGAACTAGATGATCTTCTAAGGTCCCTTCCAACCCAAAGCATCCAATGATTCTATAAAATGGACTTCCCTCTCCAATAAGGTAAACCCCAATTCAAGAAAACAAAAATAATTTCAAAGGGTGCTAACAGTCCAACACTTGTTTTGTTAGTGGAGAAGTAAGAAACACTGAATTCAAACCAGAAGTAGAAAGATTATTTTCCATCCAAATCATCCCAAATTTCATAAACACCAATGAAAGAATAAGCTTAAGACACATTACCTCAGAGATAAGATCCAAGATAATCTTGATACATTCTACAACTCTATCAGGTTTTCCACCAATAAGCACCACTCTATCAGTGGAATGAGGACAACACTCTTGGAAGAGCTTAATGGTGGTCTGCGTGTTCTGTTGAAGAAAAAAAAAAAAAACCCAAAACCAAACAACCCCACCAAAATCAAATAGAAGTATTTTAAACAATTTTATAAATTAATTGAAAACAAAATGGGTAAGACATACACTAAAACATTTTAGTGAATGTTCCAGTCATTTTAAGTGAATGCTTGCTTCCGAGTTCTTAAAAATACAATACCCTAAAATTAAATTTGTTCTAAGACATGCAATGACATCAGTTATTTTGAAATGTAGGTGAAGATGAAAAAAGTTCATTTTTCAAAAATCATTCAATTATGGATGATCTACGGGGCCATTTAATCAAATATTAGCAAAAGGACCACATATCCATTATAAGTTTACAGGTTATATAAAGGTTTATATGTAATAAAAACATGCTTTGGATGCAAGACAGCAATGTTGCCAGGATTATTTCTAGTCATCTTGCCTTCCTCAGTCCATACAAATAGTAGCTTACACTTAAACTGACCTGGAATTACCTTTGACACAATGCCAGGAAAGGATAAAAAAAACCCACTCTAGACTCAGAGACCACTAGCTTTTTAGAACAAAAACCTTGTTTGTTCTTTCACAAAGGAAACTTGTTTTCAAGGGAGTGAAACTTCAAAAAAACCCAAAACAAACACACCAAAAAACCCAACCCACCCCACCCCCACCCAACAGAGACCCAAAACCCACCCCATACTACCTTCTTACAGCAATATTCAAACATCTATCAAATTATCATTAGTTTATGAAGATGTGTCCACACTAAACCATTTTCCATGTCCAACACCACCAATATAATCCATTCAGTTCAACCCAGAGGGAATGATGAATGGCATTTTCGTTTTAAAAAGTGTCCTTTATGCATTACTCTACTGCTAGTAAGCTTTAAAGCTTTGTAAGAAGTCCTAGGCTCTATCAGCAACAGACACTTCATTTCTGACTTTTTCCAAGGAAGTTGTAATAAGTAACAGATTGATCTCAGAACACAAAAATCATGTATGAAATATATTCTGAAGGAATTACTGCACATATGATTCTTACACTCACTTTTTATGAACACACAAAACCCCACCTTTGTTTATAGAATAAAAGTAGAATCTGAAAATAATAGGAAACAGTACCTCTCTGAGTTCTTTGATTTTAGCACCCTTGACACCAATAATTCCTCCTGCTAGACTTTGGTGAATTAGAAGCCTTAATTCACAGTCGAAGTCATTACCTTTGTAGTGTTGATACTGTAAGGCGCATACAGGGAAAAAAAAAAATATTAGTTGAGGGAAAAATAATTTAAAAAAAAAACAAACTTATTTTGTTTATTTTGTTAAGGTTTTTCTCCAAACACCATGGTATGACTTAATTTGCTGCTGAACTGTAATGCTGTATTTGCTACAACAGAATCACACCTATTTAAGTACTTTGCTTCAACATGAGCTGATGTCAAATTAGTTGTCCTTATTTCTTTTATTATTATTGTATGAAATTTTAAAGACATCAGACAGCACACCACACTTGCTTACAAAGCCAAGGCAGGGTGGAAATTACAGTACAGCTACTTCAAATTGGGGACTAAAGTCAGGGAGGAGGCTGTTACAGATATTAATTTTCTATGAAGAGATTGTCTCTGTCCTCTACCAAAAAAATGCCAAGACATAGTTTGAGAGCTATAGGTCTCCTTTCAAAAAAGGCTGGTTTTTACTTTCTAATTGAACAAAATCATCTAGAATTATCTTGGTTTAAGATTTAAATTTGTACCTCTGAAGAATAAACAAATCTAGGAGACATACCTCTTCTAAAGTAGGGATAATCTTCTTCAAGATTTCTCCAATTGTCTCTGTATCTGCACTTATGCTCAAGATGCTGTTAGAGGCCAGCATCAGAAAATATGGAGAAGGTGGAAAAGTAGTAGAACTAAGTTTAGTATTCGTAATAATACACAAAATTCCAACAAGATTGACTACAGAGAAGAACCCATTTAAAGTAAACCTGTTCACTGGATTTACAACACATGCATCTTTGTTTATGTCCAATATATATGCACGATGAATTTAAGACTAGGTAGGCCTTGCAGAAAAGAGCAAGCAAAAGTGAGCTTTTGGATAGGCTCCCATTAATTGACGCAGAACTGAAAGTAGAAGTGAATATTCACATTCCCCACCACCACTAATTAGTATACTCTCACCATTACATTAGTAAAACTGGCACACCTTCTTGTGGAAAAAGTGGGGATATGCGAGTGGTCAACATTATATCTGGAGTAAGGTTGAGAGACCAGTTAGAAATTAAGATTACTAATGGGCTCTGCAAAGAAGGAATATAAATACGAGGCCGGGGTGTGTGTGTGTGGTGTGTCGGGGAGAGACACAACCCCCCCCTCCTCCACTAAACTCCTAAAAACAAACAAAAACATAACACAAATGAAGAGTGAAGGAGAGTGAACTAGAGTTAGTATTTAATCAGAAATAATTATGAACGAACAATGTTGGGGGGAGCAAAGTGGACCATAAAGACAGAGCAAGAGACCCTTGAAACAATCTGATTTATAATGCAATGAATATGCAACACCTGAAGCCATGCTCCTTCCATTGAAATAAAATCAGTTGATTGTTTGGGTGGGCAACTCACATAAAAGTTCAGTGACAAAAAGACTTAACGGGGAAAATAAGAGAGAAAACTTAAAAAACACAACCCAAACAATACACGGTCTATAAGGGGCTACTATTTAATTATATGAAAGGCAGGTAATAAAATACATTTCTTTCTTTCTAATCAGGCAGTGAGGCATAAACTGTTGGGACATACCGCTCGGGGCCACTGCTGTCTGGGACTGAGACACTTGCATTGTACTGCATTGGTCATTGGCGTTCGTGGATGTTGGCATTGGGCATGGGTATTCAATCAGAAGTTGTCAAGTATGGTACCCGTTTGGCAACGAGCACATTTTTGGGCATAGCCAACCAGGGTTTTCACATGGGCGTTCGGGGGCGGATGGGCCAACGTCATGGTGGGCAACGCAGGGGTAAGTCGATCCAGTACATGGGTAACGGAGATATATGGCCAAAAAAAACAAGGAGAGGGAAAAGGGGGAAAAGCAATACATTTTAATTTAATACAAACTATACTCATTACTCTCAATTAATGAAACAAGCTTAAGTTGTTCTGAAGACTAACACAATAATGGATTGCCACATCGACTGTGGATTAACAGTATGGATCTTAATGAGTTACTTCATCTGACTACACTACTTTTTACTTTTAACATAACGATGTTGCAGTAGCAGGCTGGCTCACGAATGTAGACACGAAAACTGTTGAGATCCAAATTACTGAGAACTTGGGCAAGTTGGAAAATTTAGTATTCCAGACCAATTAAATCATCTGGACTTAGGTGATGTATTTATTTATTTAAAGCAAACAAACAAAAACACCAGCTGCCAAAGTTAGCAAGTGTATGTATGATTCCTGACCATTTCAGCTTAATCCTCAATTCTAGCTGCTATAGTTTGTGAACTTTGATGGAACTAATTCTATAGCGATATATTAACAAATAGTGTTGAACTCAGTCTTGCTTGAAAAAATTGCTGAAGTTATAGCTGATGCCAAGTACAGGAGTGTAAACAAATGGATTTTAAGCATTGCCAAGTTTTATAAATATGTAAAATTTACACTGAACATGTCTAATCACAAGAGTCAACCCACTATAAAACATGAATAGGTAAATAAGTCATGACCATTTAAAAACACTTCCAAGTAACAGAATAAAATGTTTCTTTACTGTTCTATACCCATATTTAAATAATGCAACCTTAACAGTAATGTGTTTGTGCTTTATGTCCAAGTTGTTAAAGTAAGAACAGATGGACCATTATGAAGTTTTGGGGTTTTTTTTTTAAAGGAAGTTAAAGAATTCCTCTATCACTAGGTTAAGCCAGCCACCTACAACAGCTTTCAATAGTACTATAATTAATTCAAGCATATTGGAAATGGTACAGGTAAGGGTTTTAAGCTTTGCCAATATTTCTAATTAAAGATGTTACCTCATTTCAAGTGTGTAATTTAGAGGAACCCTGTCTGAAAGCAAAGAGGTTTAATATAAACCTCTCCTCCCACATAACTCAAGCTGGGTTTTAATTACAACACAAACTGAAGTTATCTCCCCTAACAGTCATTATAAATAGCTTATAATTATTGTTGTTTAGATTTGAATTTCTCAATTTCTAGAAATGTATGCAGTCAAGTTTTCAATGTAGTGCTCTGAAAGAATTGGTGTTAAATTAATTCAAACTCATATACTCACATCTGTACGAAGTGCCTTAATGTTTTTGCCACCTTTTCCAATCACTGCTCCAGCATTCTGGAAAATAGTTTTCACAAGTTATGTTATGCTAACACAGCACAAACTACATTTTTGAACTAAAGAATAAAACCAATGTATCTATTTCTGAATTACCTTGTGGGATGCATTTAGGGGTGGGGTGGAGCTTGTTTTGCTTTTGAAAGGTTCAAATTAAATGAAAAACATGAACTGACATAGTTTTACCACGGGGAAAGAAAAGGTCAAAGCAGCATTTACTACTAAACTTTGGAAAGACATGAAAATACTCAATAACATAATTTCAATTTTAACTTTCTAAGCAATTCTGCCTGTGTTAAAACTATCTCATAGTTAAGAGTATGACTTCCACTTTAGTGGAAGGTGTCCCTGCCCATGGCAGGGGGGTTGGAACTAGATGACCTTTAAGGTCACTTCCAACCCAAACCATTCTGTGATTCGGTGGAAACAAAATAGCTTATGGGATTCCATGCACTTTATGTAGGTCAAGTATTTTCCCCAATGTATTTGATAATTTTTTTTTTTAAATGTTTGCAAATTTCAGTTTTCACTCCAAACATTTGATAATTTCAAATGCTATTTTTGGTTTAAACCTATGTAACTCAACTGACCACTCAGGTAGGTACAGTCTGAAGAATTTAAAGTCAATATAAACAATCTCTAATCCACAGTTGCTAAAAATCAACAGGAATAAACTCAGATATTCAAGAGGGACAATTGTAAAACTACCTTTTTACCAGGTTATATTAAAAACTACATGCAAAATTATTGCCTTTATTATGCAGTACATACATGATGGTAACAGCACCACAAACAAACATTTTGGAGCACTCCATTTAACTTGACTATTCATCAGAAATGCCACGCAGAGTTAAGGTAACATTGCCCTACCCTGACAAAAAAGACTGAGTTATATCAGACAACACAAACATCTGTAATGACAGGAAACACTAAAGGAGATTCATAAATAGCAATTTTACTATGACAAGTAATGGTCTTACTATTTCCAAGGCCAGGCTGGATGTGGCTTTGAGCAACCTGGTCTAGTGGAAGGTGTCCCTGCCAATGGCAGGGGGGTTGGAACTAGATGATCTTCTAAGGTCCCTTCCAACCCAAACCATTCTATGGTTCATACTAGTTAAGGAAGCGATTACAACCCCCAAAATGTTACTCCCATATTTCTTCCTGTTGATACATACAGATTTACCAAATCTGGGAAAATTACTGAAATCCTGAGGAAGTTCTCATCTTGTCTCCCATATTTAATTTACAATTATAAGTGGATCATTTTCTAAACTGCTTGCTTTCAAAAGACTAATACACAGTCATTCCCTGGAAACAATTATGTTCCATTTAAACATAAGAAAAGTGGCTTATAATTTTCATTGTTTTGTTTTTTCAATGAGTACATTTTTTTAAAATCAGAGAAGACTCATCCTTGAAAAATACCATTGCAATACACTTCTATTATTCACGCACATTTAGAAATATTCCTAATAACTTTATTTAAAATAAAGCAGACGTTCTTTCTAAACGTGCACCACAGCATATGCTTTGTCCCCACTGTCTTAAGCAATGGTATAAAGCAGGAACATAGCAATACTGAAAAAGCATACTTTGCTTTGAAGTAAGATGCGTAATTCAACCATCTCATCTGTATTCCGAGATCTTTTGAAGGCCTGTTCTTCTTCCATATCTTCTGCAGGACGTTTGCCTGTAGACAGGTCCACAAGGGAGAAAACACAAACATATATTTAACTTTCTAAATCACTATAAAATTGTATATCAAGCTTATGCACTGCATGAAGCATTCCATCCTATTAGCACAACACTAACTTCTGACATCTACAGCACAGAAACAGGTTTTTACTTAATGAGCCTACATATCAGTTAACTATTGAAGACTCATTCCAAATCTATTAACTACAGCTGAAATGAGAATTTTGCAAACTTAGTGAAAAATTCACATGTTCTTTAAAGCAGTACTGCATCACCTATCTAGTATTTCTTTTACAATTGGGGACAACCTTAAAGCCCAAAAGATCAAAAGTAGTTTGTCCAATACTGAAATATTGGTGGAACAATAGGAAAGCAGTATTTCAAATAGCTTTGAAAATCTGGCACGAATCAACTCTATGATTCTATGAACTCAATGCTAATGCCCTAACTCTTCTTCACTAATTAGGTCCAAGAAGTTTTTTGTTTAGTTAATGGAGGTATTTCACATACATATACATTCCTTCAAAGTAGCAACTGAATAAAATACAGTAAAAGATATGCCTGACAGTATTTTTATATGATCACACTGTCCAGACAAGTACTGAGCATTTAGCTATGAAACATTTTCAAATCCTCAGTTATAAGTTTTTTACTTCTGCCATGTCTAAAATGCTACTGAAGAAAAATTACACATTCATGATATAAAATCCATGTAAAATTATAAGGGACACATAAAAATTAAAATAGTAAATAAATGCAAAAATACTGCCAATACAAGAATTTTATAGTTAAAGCATTCCAAAATAGTTAGAAACACTGAGACTTAAAAAGGTTCTTTCCCTGCCCAAGCAAAACCAGCCCTTTAAAATAAAAAAACATACCATTTGTCTCTGTGTTGGTAAATGTCTCCTCCTGTTGTTCAGTCTCCATTACCTTTTATTCTTAGGTGTGCAGATAAAACCTGTTGCAGAATAAAAAAAAGCTAGTACATCTATTTTGTGGGGAAAACAAAAAGCAGCAAACTACATTTTACTAAAGGGAAAAACAGAGATGCCTGCTTTTTTAACTTACCAGGTTTATATATGCTTGCAGAGCAAAACTCAAGTATTCCAGGCCTGATCAAAACCCAACAGCCTACTGCTTCAGAAGCCTATGAAAACAGTATAGTTCAGGTTCTATTTACTTAGAGGTATGATTCTCACTACAACTGAAAACAGAGGTTTGACCTCAATTTTTGCTGCAAAGCTTGTAAAGAAAAGTGAGAAAACATAACAAGGTCAAACACATCACTAAGAGGAAAAATAATAATCTAATCTGTAAATTTACAGATAAACAATTACAGTCTGAATTATTCTGGACTTCCTTAGTTTTCAAGCATTTGCTAGTTTTAAGCAATCACATTTACCGATAATGATTTTCAGATATTTAAAGTAAACAATTACCTGGTTCTTATTTTTAGCATGTTACATAATACACATCTTGAATTTCCTTTTTAAGGAACACTATGTATCAACCTTTTTATTGTTTAGTTATTAACAATTCAGACTAAAAAGCTACCAAATCAATGCTGGTGATTATGATAAGTATCTATTTACTAGCAGGCATTCTATCATGCCTTCCACTCAACAGTTTAAAAAAAAAAAAAAAAAGAACACACAATAACCACACTGGAAAAATTCTGTTAAAAACACCACACTGTACTTATGTATAACCTCTGCATACATGCATGAACAATCTCAAAAGCAGCTGAACGTTTTTGACTTTGTGAAACGGGTACCTCTTTCAAGATCTGTTTTTGTTAAGTCCACATGAGAACGCTTGTAAAACACATCAGAAGTCCAGGCAGAACAGTTTTGCACCTTATTCTCTTAAAAAAATTAATTTTGTACAAATAACAGCCAAGCAAAGAATGCTATTTCCCCTACCTTGGATATTATTGCTCAACTTCCACAGCCTGAACAAATGGCTGACACGTATCCACGAAGAAAAAGTGAGGTACGTTCAACTTCTTAAAAACTTCCTTTCCTGTTAGTTTTTAACAGTTATCTTGCTTGTGTCTGCCAGTCGGCATACACTTTTACAGCCGCTGCTGAGAGACCACCTTCCCAGCACAAGCTAGTATTTCCAGGCCCCTAATTTGAGCTAATAGGAAAGCACCACTTAAAGAATAGCCAAGTCTCAAACAGACATTGTTAAAGAGTAGGGGGAGAAAAAGACGGGAAGAGAAATTTCACCAGGTTCAAATGGCTAGCCCTTCCAGACCCTCACAAAAATTTTAGAGCTGCGGGGGGACGAAGTGTAATATAGTGTTCAGGACAAGATGCTCTCAGTTACTGTACTCTGTTGTGTAAATCGAGTTTACGGGATTAAATTGACTAACGCAATGTTTTTAAAAACATTTATCGAAATGATAAAGCGGTTACGAACATGAGTAGAGGGCTGGGAAATGCCGGCACGCCTCAACCCCACTCTCCCTAGGACAAACGGCCCTTCCCGACCAGGCACCTCCCCTTCACCACCTTTACCCCTCGGCACGGCTTCTATAGCCGGCCTGCCCAGCTCACTCCCTAAACGGGTAGGGGAGACGGCGTTACATAACCCCCGCAGACTGAACCCCACCTCCACAGTAGCGGGGACCAGCAGAAATGGCGGCCACTGTAATGACGCCTACCCACTGCTAGGCGGAGCCAGAAGCCGAAAAACCACCACCACGCGGTCACAAGATTTCCCCCACTCTGCCCAGGGAGACACAAAGGAGGCCCTCGGCGGCTCTCATCCGAGTTCAAGCGGGGCCAACAGAAAGCAACAGCTCTGCCAC